ATGTAAAAACATTATTATTCATAAATTTAATTTTTTAATCATTTCACGCCAAGCAAGAAAATAAAGCCCCTAATACGCAAGGAAAGCATTAATTAAGATTATTAAATAGTAGAGTCCATCTGGTACACGCTCAAGATATAACAAACCCTCGAAATTCAACGAAATACAGAATTATTCGGACTGTTGTCCTCATCTTTTTCGACATATTTATTACAACGTTCCGGCCTTCTTCAGGATGTGTTGGAGTGTCGAACTGAACCCTTTATTTCGCTTACTGGGATAGACTGTTCTAGTTCCACGTGTCATGTTTAATTTATATCAGTTCTATAAGTTCTATAAGTTTTCCACTCCTTTAGCCGGGTATTGAACTCACACTCTTTGGGTGCTGACATTGGATCTAACGCCTTTATCCATTGTGCCATGTGTCCTTGAGGACATCGGTGTATTAATTTATGCGTATTATAAAACTATAAACCTAATGTCTTCAGTAAACATTTTTTACCAATGCTCATATTGCAATTTTTTCTGTTATTATTTCATGTTTTTACCAGAGCTCATATTGCAATTTTCGTTGTTATTATCGCTTTTCTCTGGCACTCCTTATTACTGGTTCCCATATTGTATTCATTTCTATGCTTGGCCGGCTCAGCAGATTTTTGTGCACGAGCATATGTGCTGATTCCTTAAGTTTACGAATTTTCCAATGGTGTTCTTTGTCTATGATCTCAACCTGATCCCACAGAGTGTGGTGATCTCCCTTTTGTGTGTCTGTGTGTGTGTCAGCCTATTTATAAATGCGTCATATCTCTCTAGGGCGTGGGTGATCAGTGTTCTCCAGTTTCCCTTTGGTCTATTACCACACCCATTTTGTGGCTTTTGTTCCGCCCCCTATTTACTTACACTTGTAAGGTAGCTTACTCGTTTCTTTTCTTTGATTATCTTGCCTTCGACATGTCGTGTGAGAATTACATTCTCCAAGTCGTCTTTCCTCATTATATATCCGATAAGTTTCAATTGTGGTTTTCTGATTATTAGCCCGTGTTTTTTTTTTTTGTTTGTTTGTTTGTTTGTTTTCTTGCAGTTCTCATTCTCCTTAATACTTCCTCATTTCTCACATGCTCTCTCCAGGGAATTCTCAGTAGAACCCGATCTTGGCCTATTCAAATAATTTCTTTATTTGTGAAGAACTTTCTAGTATTCATTTCTATATAGCAGATAACATCGAATTTCACAACTCTTTTAAAATCTTATCTTTCGGTCCCTAAGTACCTTAATCAGTTCCTGAAACAGATTCGGCTATTCCATTACGTCTTACAGTTCCTGTGTAACATTATCCATCGTCAGTTATTATATTGTACAGATAGCTGAATAACTCTAGCTACTTGATTTGATCACTTTTTCGTTACTACCATTGCGTTCAATCTTCTTACAATTGATGCTTAGACGTTCCTTCTTGTATTCATCGATGTTCTTGTCTGATAATGTCCGTTAAGGTGAGGTCCACTACTTTTTGTAAGTTCTCTACTTCTCTCCAAATCTTCCGGGCAAACAAATTTGGAAAAAAAAAAATCTTTGTCGCAATTCACATATAAGCTATTTTTCCCAATACAGATTGCGGGTATTTCATACACCCTTTTTATGCTGACCAGGCTTTCCAAAGATTTAAAAATTTGTTCGCCTTATAGTTTATCGAATACATAGAACGAAGAATATATCAGCAAAAGTAATTTTTATTTTTTGATAAACAAATAATTCGCCTATCGCTATTTTATCGCGGATTTAATGACCGGCTGACTTAAATCGATATTTTTGCTTTGACTGATTTCAGCATGTCCCCATCGATATTAATTAAGCTCAGCCGTGTCTGGTATATAGGGCAAAAATATCAGACACTCTGTGTGGATCAAACTCTGTAAAAGTCTCTGAAATTAGTTTGATAACAACTTCTTTATGGTAAGCGAAATGCCTCGCCAGTATGAAGTTAGCTAAACCATTTGTTCACAGATCGGAATGAGCTGAAACCAAGGCTGATGTTGGCAGTTGGCAACTAAAGTAGGTTAAATTAGACGAAGAAGAGCATTGGGTAATGTTTAACTGCATTGGACTCAAAAGCTTCACCGGAAAGAGATTTGTTAACGACAGAAAAACGAGGCTAATTCAATTCAGATTCGAAAATTCCCATTTATCTTCATTCAGCATCATTTTATATTTTACGTTTCGCTGTCTTCAGATCTTTCTTTTCTTCTCAATGCATTCGTTCTTCATTCTATTAGTTTGTTTCATTCTCAATCTATTAATTCCTTTTACTTTTCTTTTTTAGATTCAGTTCATTTCTTTCTTTATTTCTTTCTTTCTTTCTTTCTTTCAGCCACAGGCATAGATAGATAGACAGCTCAGCATCAACGAACGTTTGAATATCTCCCTCTCGTTCTTTTTGTTTCTGTCTGTCTTTCTGTTTTTATCTATCTATCTATCTATCTATCTATCTATCTATCTATCTATCTATCTATCTATGTACATTCATACGAAAACGTGTGACTGGGCATTACACAATCAAATGCACACTGGACAAATACCAGTCAATCAATTTAGTTCTCAGTCAGTTAACTATGTGCCATGCGTGATACACGCTTAGGCGATCATGTATCTTTTGATACATGACTGACGAGGCAGATTTTTCCCGCGGTAGGTTGCTATTTCTTTCTGCGTTGGACTAGTTGCCATCCAAGGCTATAGAATTGGATCTGTCCTGCTATTTACCCAGAGCTGGAAGAGGGAGAACAAGAGGATTTGTACCTTTCCTAAGGGTATTAGAACGTGAGTGAATGTAATGGATTTGACTTTAGTTCTACTGAAGCCATTACTGCATATGAATTTGCTTTACATCATAAAACACTCGAAGTTTCACTGCTTCCAAGCGTCAGGATCTGAAATTTGGAAAGACTCATATTCTTCGTTTATTTTAGGACAGAAAAGCAATTTTAGAATTAGTATGAATACGCGCGCCTTTAACCAATCAAAATTCTTTTCGCAATTTCTTCATATTACCTTGATATAGACTTTCACACTTTCATGTCACTGTTTCTTTCTCCATCATTCTCTCGCATTGACTCTCTGACACACATGTACACACACACACACACACACACACACACACACACACACATACATACATACATACATACATATATATATATATATATATATATATATATATACTATTTACATTATTCGGACTACTGTCCTCATCTTTGTCACCATATCTATTACAACGTTTTGGCCGTTGTATGATCCGGCCTTCTTCAGGTGGTAATAAATATGGCGACAAAGATGAGGACAATAGTCCGAATAATGTACACCGTGTACATAATACCTCCTCTCAGAAATATAGACAGATACTGAAAGGCCGAAACGTTATAATAAATATGGCGACAAAGATGAGGACAATAGTTCGAATAATGTAAATAGTGTACATAATACCTCATCTCAGAAATATAGACAGATACTACATCGTTCTCGCTTCATGTATTTTTATGTTTTTATTTCTAACGAAATTGCTCAGCTTTCACCACCATACAAGAGGATCCGCCTCACAGAAGTCTAACAGATTTTTCTTTGCAATTCGATTAACTTCAGTTTCTGAAAAAATATCTTTCACTTTTCTTATGTCTCTTCGAATTCCTGTGTTACATTTTCTGTTGTATTTTTATTGCACTACTTAGATAGTAGAATTTCCGAACCTGCTTGATTTTGACGTTGCCGTTGTGTAACATCTAGTTCTGACCCTTTTGCTCACCACCATGTATTCTATCTTACATGATTAATCTTCGTCGGCTTATTTTTTAACACTTTTCCTTACGAATGTATCCTCAATTTAATGTAATTTGCATAGCATCCTTAAGATCTCTTCCGTCCATAATGAAATCCTAGTAGGTTCTTTAATTGTCTAAGAATTATCTCAGAGGGTAAAAGTTAAATTCAATAGAAAAGCACGTCCTTGTCGCACTATTCTCTCTACTTTGCTGCAATCACTTTAGGTGTTGTAATTAGCCACGCCCATTGAACTATGGCATTCATAATTTTTGACAACAGAATTTTATGATAAACAATTTTTGGCGTAAAAAATTGCTATACCCGATCCAATGATGATAATCAAACAATCAGATTGAATTTTAAACATATAGCAATCTGAGCCCCTTTTATTTACATAAAACGTAAAGAATGTTGCAACTCCAGTTAGATAGAAGACATATCATGGGATAGACACACGACTCTCCATATCAACTTTTGAAAATTATACAACTGTGACACCGGTATTCTTGATAAAAATAATCTTGAAAACTTGTTGCATTTTCATTTCTTTTTCCGATATTTTTACTCATATGAATTATATAAAACATACTTTTATTATATATATATATATATATATATATATATATATATATATATATATATATATTATTTATTTAAAAATTATAACATAAATATATTATAAAATCACTACAAAATAGCTATTTTGTTTCAACACCTCTGGTGTCTTATCAAGTGATGATGTTGAATGTAGATTGTAGAATAACTTTATTCTACAATCTACATTCAACATTCAACATTCGCTCTAATCTGTATTGAGCACTCTTTTAAGAATAGTAATTTTTGTTTATTGGAATTTATTCCGTATACATCAATCATATACTTGTATATATATATATATATATATATATATATATATATATATATATATATATATATAGGGGTATCAAAATATTTTTACAAACCTTGAGGGCGGGTTCCTCACACCAAAACAAGGACAAAAGTCCATATAATCATATGTCCTCAAATACATCGCTTCTGAGTTATTAAATTTAAAGAAAGTTTATGGTAGATTGTACTTCGTTGCCATCTAGACTAGGTTACAATTTCCATTCGTGTACATTTGTGTCTCGTCTGTCTTCAAAGTTTTACGTGGGTAGTAGTGAGTTAACTGAGAAGTTTAACAATGACAGGATATTCATATCGTGAGCAGACAGATATGACTTTTACGTACGGCCGCGCGAATGGTAAGGGACGCGTGGCTGCACGGCTGTATCCAGACAGAAGACAGCTGAGTCATCCAACTTTCCCTGCTGTTTATCGGCGCGTTGCTGAAATAGAACCCGTGGCACCACAAACTATGGCTCGAGGAAAACCGAGATCCGCTCGTACGCTTGACCCCGAAGAACACATTCTACATGCTGTCGAAGATGATCCATATATCAGCGCACGTCAAGTGTCCCGAGCATGTCGTACAACTCATAGCACCTCGTGGTGGGTAATTCAAGAGCAGCTCTTGTATCCGTACCATTTGCAACGTGTCCAGGGTCTTTCGCCTCTGATCATTCACCACGGGAGAACTTTTGATGCCGATCAGTTGTCTGTCTCTGGAAGAGATTGAATAACAAATTCAAACAACCAACGTTTGTAGGCGGATCGGAATCCCCATGGTACAATACAGGTTAGACACAAACATCAGTTTACAATTAATAGTGTGCACTGGAATTGTAGGTTACTGTCTGGTAGATCCGTATGTTCTCCCAGCACGTCTTACTGAGCTGTGTACAGGGACTTTATTTCGAACGCACTTCCACACCTGCTAGAGGATGTACCCCTGCTAATACGAAGACGCATGGGGTTCATGCTCCAGCACATTTAATCACATCTACCATAAATGATGGATAGGTAGGGGAGGACCTGTTCCATGACTTGAACGTTCTCCCGACTTCAATCATTTAGATTTTTATTTCTGGGACAACCAAATACAATTGGTTTATGCAACATTCATCAATAATGCAGACGTTTTATCAATCTATCATGGGAGCCTGCGAAACCATTTGACACTGTGTGGAATTATTTGAAAGTTTCCGCCAGTCAATGATAACAACTTGCTTTGAGAATGTAATTAATTTTGCAAACAAAATACACATAAAATGTCATTAATAAATCAATTTAAAAGACATAAGTTGCAATAATATATATGATATATTATTTTGCTGCCATATCTGTTCTGGTGTTCCACCTATATACCTTGAGATTCTCGACAAAATCTAGAGAAGGGTCTGTCATGTAATCTGTCCTAATTTGTCATTTCGACTTCAGTCACTTTCTCACCACCATGATATGGCTTCTCTTTGTCTTTTCTACAAACATTTTCATGGCAATTATTCTAATGAGCCTTTCTGGCGCCTCAACTTCATGAACTTAATGATGCAACTAAATTAGAAACTAGATTTCACCGTTTTACTTTTGAACTAGCTACATGTAACCATGGTTTCCTTTCTCACAATTCCTGCCTCTAGAATTATCTTCTGGTTTGTTGCAACACTGCCACCTACAATCCTCAGACTTTTAAATGCAACTCTATTTTCTGTTTCATGTTCTTTTATTGTTTTTCATTCTGTCTTAGTGGCTTTCTTGCCTTGTTTGGGGTGAAATGATTAATAAATAATTACATGAATAAAGCGGCGTTGACTATTTTGATAAAGTTGGAATGTTTCATATACGCTTTGCCTGATGAAGGTCGCGAGACCGAAAACACGTGTAGCAAAATTATGGAAAATAAAGCATAATAAAAAAAATCCACATTTACAACCAAAAACATTTGCGGTTTCTCTCTTCTTTTTAATATACACACTTTTCTCTTGTTGGAACTACTATAACCTCTTCCATTTATATATATATATATATATATATATATATATATATATATATATATATATATATATATGTGTGTGTGTGTGTGTGTGTGTGTGTGTGTGTGTGTGTGTGTGTGTGTGTGTGTGTGATAGATTGTAGTGGAGATATTATTGTGGTCGAGTTAATCTTTTTCGGAACAGGAGACAATGTAGTGATAGTGAAGTGTTGTATGCAAGGTGTTATGTGTTTCATTGAGGCCTAAGAATTCCTCCAGATGTGAAAAGAGAAACGTCTTGTTACTATGCCAGTGGCCGGCGCGTACTACCTTGAACCCACCGATCATGGGCGGGGGCGGGGAGACTGATTGGGGGTCCTGTGGTAGTGCTTTCTAATCCTCGCTCTCTTATCAGCATTTCCGTTTTTCTTTCTACATTTATATTTGTTACAAATTAATCTAAAACAAATGACTATCAAAAAAGGATTTTTCGGATTTTAACATCATTCTGTGCTCATTTTTAATTGTCCAAATCCGTGAATTTGCTCTGCTTGTGCTAACTGTCGCAAAAAAAAAAAAAAAACTGTATAAAATTCACTATTTTTTTATCCATAATGTTAAATGTGTTAAAATTGTTCAACGTTTTAACAAGAAAAATCTCAAGTTGACGTTAAAAATTACTGCAAAATATCTTTTTGGCAGGGTGAGCAGTTGCCAGTTTTAAAAATAGAAACATTTTTTGGCATGGGTGTACTTTTTAGCGTAACGCTCCTTGATTGTGACTGGTACTAGTGATAAATATCCAAGGTCTTATAATACTGCTTTACTCTCTTATCTTAACACCATCATTATTATCGAAGGCATCAATAATTCA